TTGAGTAGCTTATTGTAAAATAAAACTCGTGTAAAATTCTACTTTGGTTAAATTTAAAGCTTAATAATACCAAATATTGATATAGTTTTGATACAATTGGAAATCTCAACATGGCAAGAGGCATTGTAATATTGTAATACAATACAGTCTATTTGAAAATTCTTACACATTTAACTATATTTTTATTTTTATGTGGTGCTGAGGATTGAACCCAGGACCTTGCACATGTTAGGTGAGTGCTGTACAGCTGAGTCACTAGCCCAGCCCCATTTAGCTGTATTTTAGAGTGTATACGTGTGTGGTGCTGGAATGGAACCCAGGGAATCTTGTATGGTAGGCAAGTGCTCTACCCCTAAACTATACCCCCCAGGCCCTATACTTGCTTATTTTCATACAACTTTTAAACTCAATATCACAAAATTTTCTTGTCTGGGAGAAATGATTTTTATTCTCTCATTGAAATAAAATATTGCATTAAAGTTTATTCCTTTTTTGACATTTGAAGCATTTAATATTATTATTTGGAATTTAAATTCAACAACTATATTCTATACAGATCTGTTCACCCCCAGGAAAACCATTAGTTTTTTCCTTGTACCCATTATGTTCAAATTAAATAGGGAAAATAGCAGGAACACATAAATACTATTTTTTTCCCTAGCAAACTGTATGATTTTCATACTCTGAAGTATCTCAATCACAAAATAGTTAAAAGAATAAAAGATGGTTACCTGAAGGGAGCTTTAGATTTGTATTGATGTGGCACTGGCCCATTGCCTTTTTATGAGTCATTTTAACTTACAGCAGGCAATTATTTGATACCAATAAAAATGAGTGAAGTTATTTTCTTTCAAGAAATAACTCATTCTGGCCGTGATGCAAAAGAATATCATGAACATAGAAAAATCAGTGCAGAGATGGGTAGAAGTGGACACATTTTACAGGGTCATAGGAGGTAAGATCAACAGACTCACTGGCAAACACACGGGAGGAAATGAGAGGAAACCACCCTTAGTGCTCAGGATCAGACTGTAGGCTTTGCTAGTTGGAGGAACTTGGGTGGAGTGTTGAGAGTGGAGAGAGAAAAATAATTCATCAGAGATTAGTTGTGAACCAGTGGTCATCACGGGGCACTTAAATCTTGGTGACAGCAGGAATTCAGGATACACATTCTAATACCCAATCTGCCCCAAATTTTAAACCTGGATTTACTTTTACCAATTGAGTATGTGTTGACAAGTAGATTAAAGTAAGCTTTCTCTATTAATCCAGGATAATGGGAATACTTGCTTTACCAAATCATTGTGAGGTTGAAATGTGATGAGGTGTGCAAAGCTAATGCACAGTGCTTGGCAGAGTAAGCTTCAAATGAAAGTTGGTCAGTACTATTAATGGTCAGCCTTTTCCATCAAGGGGGCGTCTGGAGGGCAAGGCAGGATTTTTTAAATTAGGATTAGCAAGAGAGTTAGATTGAGTCTTCAGGTTGAAGTCATTGTTTCTACCATCCTTCTTTGCCTCACATAAGCCACTAACTAATAGTTATCCTTTGTGGCATGTGGACATGACACAGGTAAGACTGTGTCTTAACTGGAAGTCATCAGAATCTTTTTAATTCACAGTTCCTCATCTGTATAACTTTAAAAGATTTTTATTTTATGATGTTGGCTATAAAAATTTGTGCATATCTTAAATAATTTTGATATTTAAAATTCAATTTTGTCAACTTCCCCATATTCCTCAAGTTACCTAAGGGAGTGTCTTAGATCTAACACTATAAAATACTTTAAAATGAACAGGTGGTAATGAAAAAAAGATAAGCTACCATGTTATATTTGTAGCTTAGTTTTATTTTGTTTTGGTACCAGGGTTTGAACTCAGGGACACTCGACCAGTGAGCCACATCCCCAGCCCAATTTTGTATTTTATTTAGAGACAGGGTCTCACTGAATTGCTTAGTGCCTCACTTTTGCTGAGGTGGGTTTTGAACTCAAATCCTCCTGCCTCAGTCTCCTGCGTCTCTGGGATTACAGGCTTATGCCAATTCTCTGGGTGCAGTTTAGTATTTTTAAGCCTGAATTAACAAAGTAAACTTAGAACCAATATTTAGTTATGAGATAATTGATTATACTTTCAATAATTATCAAATGAAAGTGTACCAATATCTACTTAAAAAGAAAAAAAAGATCACTTGAGAATTGACAGAATCCTTGAAGATTAGTTGTGGTTGTGTGAAAGGAACTACTCAATATTCCCTTGAGAATGTAAGAATGATCCTCAGTGTTTTTGAATTCACATTTGACTCTAGAATCTTCAGAGATTTATCCCCAAAAGCAACACTAATATTAATGGATAACAGCTACGGTATATTAATACTGACTTTGCATTTGCTACAGCAACATAAATTAATGCTTATTTCAAGAGGTAAGAGTTTGGCTTTTGTGAGTAAATCTGATTTACTGATTTTTATTTACACTTAAGAACACTTTATTCTTCTAAGTTGTTCTATGTTCCTAAACTGTAGTTGAGAAACAAGGCAGATATAACCAACCAGTCAGCTAGCAAATAATTGTAGTTGAATTAAAGTTTCCACAAATTTCTGTGAATAGACAGGAAATAATTCAGTTTTCCAAGATTCCTCATTTATCTACCTATAATATTAGAAATTTGCGTGATCTTTAATAGTAGCTAAACTTAGCTCTTTACCATAATGCTAAAAAAATCCAGTAGCTTATATAGAAGGAAGACTTTATGGCATTTGCTGGTAAATGGATAGAACTGGGGACTATCTGAATAAAATAAGCCAGTTCCAAAAGATCAAAGGTCAAATGTTTTCTCTGATATGCAGAAGCTTATCCAAAATAAGTGGGAGAGGGGTTTAAAAAAAGAACAGAAGAAAGATCAGAAGAGTAGACAAAGGGGAATGGAAGGAAGGGAGGAGGGATAGGATAGGGAAAGTCAATGGAATGAATCCGGTCTTTCTATGTATGTGTGTGTGTGTGTGTGTGTGTGTGTGTGTATATATATATATATATATATATATATATATATATGAAAATAGCACAGTGACAATGATTTTTAAAAATATGTAAGTAATAGCAGAAAGATCAGTAGAGTGGAGGGAAGGCAACAGAAGGTGGGAGGAATAAAGGGGAAGGGGAAATACTGGGACTGAATTGGAACAAATTATATTCCTTGCTTTTATAATTATGTCACAGTATATTCTATTGTCACATATAAATAAAAAGAACCAATAAAAAAAGAACTCATAAGAATAAAAAAATATACAGCAGCTTTAACATACTTTGGGGACACCCTGAAAAATTTTCAGGAAAACTTAGTTTGTTTATTGATTGACTGTTCTAGTATCAGAGGCACTAGACATTTTAGACAAAGAAAAGGATATAAGACCAAAAGTCTTGGGAGTTTAGAGTGAACCTGACACATTGTTGGGTGATCCTGAGTGAACATATTAACTCTAGGTTGAAATGTGATTCAGCTCTATGTTGTGTTGAAAATAATAATGTTTCATTCCATAATATTCCATTTGAGAAAATATTACATTATAAAATTATTTGATGTACTTGAAGAAAACAAACTTTAATAATTTGTTCTAAATATTAATCATATGATATTTTAATAGTGATTAGAATGGCATTTCAAGTACTTTGTTAAAGCAATGGTTTAACTGGAAATAATAAAAATGTTTAATAAATTTACAATAGGTAATTTAATTTATTACTTTGATTCCTTGATATTTTTTCCTTGTTCTATCAGAAAAAAATATATTTCTCATTTTAAAAAGTGGTCTTAAAGATGGCCTCATTTAACTGAAAGATATTGTAAACTATGTGACTAAGGAAGTGCCTCTTTTATGTAACAACTTCCAGAAAGCTGAAAGGCTAACCTGTTATCCCCCACTTACACATGTACTCATTGTAATGACCATTTAATTTGTTATAATTAGCATTTCATTTACAGCAATGGTTACTAAAAGAATAGACAAATTTTAACCAGCCTGGGTTCATACCTGATTCGACTACTTCTTGTGTAACCTTAGGAAAGTTATTTAACATTTTCAAACTGAGTTTCCTCAACTATAAAATGGAAATAATAAAAGTACTTAATTTCATGGAAATTAAAATAGAACTATACATATAAATTTTAATCTATGGGGTGATAATTTAGTAAGCATAAAATAAATTTAGCTATTACTCAAATCTTAATTGGTCTCATACATTTTAATTATTTTTGTCATAATTAATGATTCCTTTTTGTTATTTTTGCAAGTCATATTTTTATATTTTAAGTAGTGTTAAAGCTATTTAAATGTTTGCACACACATATATATTTACATTATTTGTAGAAAGTTTTTAATGTTTCCTTTAAAAACAATTTTTAAACTATGACTCATTACACATAAATATATAAACTCTGGGACTCTAAAATAAAAAAAAATTAGACCAAATTTTGCTTGAATGATCAATTTTTATAATAATCTCCATGTAGGCATTAATTCAAATAAAACCATATATTTATAATTTTTTTTAATATAATGTCATGTTTTCCTCACAAATTCATTTTTCAGCAGCCACTGTCCCATGGATTCCCTGGTCACTGGGAACCACACTGCAGTGACAGAGTTCATTCTATTGGGCTTAACCGAGGA